ATTATTTGGGGGGGGGGCAGCAATAGTATACGGATTTTTAACATTCACGGGTATCTCTGTTACCTAACCCCCGCGAATGTTAAGGGCCGACTGTACATAGAAAATCTAAAATGGGTGTCTCATTCTCTTCTCAACACCACAAAACTCAAATGAGCTTGCCAGTCATTTTAAAGTGAATTACAAACAAAAATTTTGCCTGTGTACTGACGTTGGGACTTGAAAAAACGTAATTTGACAACATTTTGGAACGACTGAGGCAGGTCGTAAGTCGGGGAGGAGCTGTAGTAGGTATTACAAGAAATATTATTACTTTGACAATATTGTATATATTTTTTAAGAGATGATTTAAAGGAAGGGAGTGTAGTCTTTGCTCGGATGGGTGGGGGTAAGTTCTTTCACACCGTGATATTTTATGGAGGTCTGGGACTGAGAGGAGCGCATGGGGGGTGGTCTTAGTAGCTCTGGGTGCCTTAAGTTGTATCTCTGTTTATTCCGGAACTGGAAGTAATTACTGTCAAGCAAGTGATTGATAGATTTTTAAACAAAGAGGGCACAGCAGTAGGTGTTAATATCTTTGAATTTTAACATTTTCAATTTAGCAAATTTTTCGTTTGTGTGATCTGTTTTTTCAAGTAGGTCATTGTCCGTACAACTCTCTTTTGTGCAGTAACCAGAGATTGTGTTTTTGAAGAGCCAGAAACCCCCTATAGTGTGTGACAGTGTATCAGGTGTTGGTAAACAAGATCATGATAGATTTCTTTCATTGCTGTGAGAGTGAGTGACTGTCGAGTGTGATACATGAAACCGCACTGTTTATTGACTTTACTGTGAATGGCTTGTATGTGGTTTCTCCAGTTAATTTTCTCATCAACAATAACTCCGAGGAATTTAGTATTTTGTTCGCGTTTGAGGACTGTATTACCAAGGTACAGGGGGTCCAAGTCTGGGGGTAAGTTTTTCCTCCTGTGAAAGATCGTATAGTGGGTTTTCTCAAGGTTTAAGGTCAGTTTATTACATATTACCCAGGTCCTGACTTTAGTCAAATCAGTGTTCATAGTTCTCATCAAGGAATGGAGGTCTGAGTTGCTGGCATAGAAATTACTATCGTCTGCAAATAAGTTGTATTTTATGAGTGTGCTGGCGTGGACTATGTCGATTATGTACAACAAAAACAGTTCTGGACCGAGAATGGTGAGGAAAGGTCTCTGTAGGATTCCTCCTTTGTTGTTGATAGTCTTGTCTAGGGCTATTTTAAAGCACAGTACTGTCTGTTCCTGCTGATTGGTTTACTAGTCTCTGTGTGAAGAAACATTTCGTTGTCATTCTGCATGATAATTTTGTAAGCTTAGAGTCATGCTCCATTGTATTGGTGCGTGAAATCTAAAAAGAATGGCCGGGATTCATGTTTTCCATCCCTTTTAAAATTTTGAATGTGTATGAGTTGTGCCTTATTGTGTCTTGTCTGAAGGGTTGTTAGTCCTCAGGCCCTCAGTTTATTTGGATAACCGAGATGACATAGTTCAGGAATTATTTTAGTCACCATGTTGCACCTTTTCTAATGATGTTGGGTCTTTTTGAAGGTAGTGTTTACATGCCCTGTATTCAGTAATCCAGACTGGGACATACTTGAGATCTGTACAGTTAAAGGAGCATTTTCATATCTTTGTATTTGAAGGCTATGCTTTATAATTCCCAAATCTTGATTTTTTTTTGTCACTATTGCCTCCACTTGTTCTGCCTCCATCAGTGACTGATCTATGACAACACCAATATCTTTCTCCTTATCGACAGTATCCAGGAAAGTGTTACTAACAGAATGGTGGTGATTTAGGTTGTTGCATCCTACATGCAGAGTCTTGCATTTTGTGTTGTTAAAGGTCTTTCGCTAGTCTAAAGACCATTTGAACAGCTTGTGCAGATCTTTTTGCATGGTTGCAACATCGTCTTGACTTGCAATCTTCCCAAATATCTTCATGTCATCCACAAACCTAACAATATGTCTTGATATAATTTCATCTGTCATTTATGTAGATCTCAACAGGTTGGATTCAAGAATAAAACTTTGTGCTATACTACTGAGAAATGTTTTCCATTCTGAATGTACTCCATTTATGACCACCCTTTGTGTCTTGTCATTGAACCTGTTGTTAATGCACTTCAAAATTTGGCCTATGATTCTATGTGGCTGGATTTTAGAGACTACCTGTGAATTGGGACTTTGTCAAGTGCCTTAGATAAGTCCACGTATTACGCCCGAGATCAAAGGTTTGCTTGACCCCAAATAAGATAAAACAGCACACTTGCATCAGAAAACAGTCAGGATAAGTCAGTTCAGAGACTCCGTTTCACCACGGGTATCAAAATTTTGACAGTGACTGTACTACTCATCCACTGGTAGACCTTGGTCCATGTAATGTGTTACCATTTCAAGGAAATTGAATAAGTGTGTCAAACAGGATATTCTCTATGGAACCGTGTGATACATTGATCAGACTACTCGGTTAGGTGTTGGAAGATTGTGTCCCTCAGAATTTTCTCAAGAATTTTTGCATATAGTGAGTTGACATAAAGCAAGGGTCAGGTGGTTGTTGGCCAGAGTTAATTTTTCCCTGATGTGGACTTTGTCCACCATTGCTACCTATGTTGTCAAGAGTATATCCAGAATGTTTTTTCTCTAGTAGGTTCCTTCATGTGTTGTGTCTTGAAGGTCAAGGTATGCTCCTCAGCTTGTATGGTAAGATTCACCCAGTCTACTGTCTGTTCTGGATGACATTGGAGTCTGCCACTTCTCCATGTGAGGTTGAGTCAGCCTTATAACACACACCTACTGTCACCTTGCTTTTTGTTCTCTGCTATTAGTTCACACCAAAAGTAAATTTGGACGATTTAGTTTCATTCGCTCATCATTACTGGTTATTGTCAGGTGCTCCATGACACAGTAGTACACCACCACCTGTCCTTTCTGGATGGTGAGTGATAACCTGGTAAACACATCTTCTCAACCCCAGGATGTCTGCCTGTTCTGTATCCACCTATGCATTTAAGTCCAGTCTTATTAACTAGACTGGTGTCATTCTTGTTTCATTCAGGATTTTGTTCTCTCGGGGTTACTAGTATTACTTAAAGCTACACTTGTGATGTGCAACACCTATACAGTATGAAGTCCCACATTTCTCACTGTCTCTCCTTCCCTCCTCCACCTCAGGTTCTTTATAATGCGATTGTCATTGTGTTTGTTTATTTGCAATTGTTCTCGTGACATGTTATGTTAGTCAGCCCCAGGTGCCACGTTATCACTGTGTAACTATTTCTTGTAAGTTATTTAATACTTCCTGCACTGATTGTTGGAGTTGTCTCATTTATTGCTTTAGTTTACTGTATCTTGTTCTTTATCTTCTACACTAGTAATACAGGTACACCACCAATTTTCCGGCACCTTTGGTTCCTGAGCCTTTCCGGACCATCCGTTTTGCCGGATTAACAGAGGTCATATATAATAATTAAGCAATACACCTTTGAACCACTTGGTATACACCCCTTCCCCCCGGTATTTTTAAAGCACCATGGCTGCTAGAAACTCATCACTCTATCATGTTCAGTACTCTTACTGTCTTTCAATGTTTTTCTAATGCACACTTGCTTCTTGGAATCACTTTCTGCATAGAATCTCGTTACTTTTTCTCTTTGCTTCTTTATATCACACACAGTTGACGAACCAATACCATACTGATCACACACCCGTCACACCGAAACACTACGGTCGAGTTTTCTCAAGAGTTCCACCTTATCTTGTATCGATGTGGACTGGTGTTTACGCTTTACACCACCACTGACACTTGTACTTGCCTTTGAAGCCATAGCTGGGGTTAAATATGTCCAAAACAAGCTGAGAATTACACAAAATCAAGAAGCTACCACCAGCAACTGCAGAATAAACAAAGCGAGCGCGGTTAACATGTAATGCCATCTGTGGGCAGCCCAGTAAACTAATCTGGAGGTCAAGGGAATTTTGTCCTGGTTAAAAGAGGTGCCGGACCATCCGTTGCCGGAAAATCGGTGGAGTACCTGTAATTAAGTCCCTAACTTGGTCTTTTTGTGTTTGTATATTAGTGTCAAAGTATTTATGTTTAGAGTACACCCACCTCTCGTTTTACGCGGGGGTCACGTTCTTGAAAACCACCGCTTAATTAAAAACTTCTTAAATTAAACATAAATTTCCCATAAGAATACATGTAAATGGTACAGGTTAAGGGAACCATCATATACCACACAGGGTACGAACAGTGCTCTCACTTAAACCAAGCATGCGGCCAACACACACATACTCCTCTCTGAAGGCCGGTGATCACATTTAATTTCACGTCCATTGTGATTGTTTTTCGTGCCTTTTTAGCTTTAGGCGTCCCAGAGGCAGATGGGTGTTTTACAGACATGGTCAATGGGGGAAACGGCGTTTAACACTAAAAAGGTACGTGATAAACACAATGCAAATTGGAGCACAGAGAAGTAGTAGTGCTGGTGTGAACTGAGAAAGTGATACCCGGGAAGCTTGCTGGACGTGGTCAAAGTTTTTGTACAGAATACTTCATTATCTTCACCATTAGAAGTAATTATCTTTATTATTACATTATTATAATTATTATTATTAATAATATAAAATTGTTGATGTTGATATGACTGCAACTTTATAGTCATAACTTACAAGTACCTCACCAGGCATCACACGCGACTCCACTGCCAGACGACCAGGTGAATACACTATGCAAATTTAAACTGTCTTGAGCGCGTTATTTAAAAAATTGGTGCGTTTAAATTAGCTTTTGGTATTAACTGAACAATCGCGTTGTTCCAAAAACGCTTAAATCAAACGCACGTAAAACGAGTTACCTGTATATAAAGTAAAAGAATAAAATCATTTTAACACCTGTGCTGAACTGATATTCCAGCTCAGGAGTGCCACAAGAAACGTGAAGATTAGTTATTACAGAAAAACAAAAAAATTTAACCCAAAGTTGATTGTAAATACATAATGCCGCTCAGTCTCATATTTTCTCTCTTAATTATATTAATAACTTTAAGCTTTGCATAAATCATTGTTTATCAATTTTGATACCTTACAAATACTACTTTCTTTTTTACTTTTTCTACTTGTGTGTTTCACTTCAATTAATTTAACTTTTGTTTTGTTTTTAAGTAGTTTTGAAGAAAGCTACTTTATACAAATTTTAATTTGTACAAAGCAACAGTGTAGTACTGTACTTTATTTTAAGTAATACTTCCAGGTACTTTCTCCATCACTGTTTAAAGTGGATCTGAATTGAGCTGGACCTGATGTGAACTAGACTAAAGTGGGCTGGACGTGCAAGTGAAGGAGATCTGAAGTTAACTGGACCTAAAGGACTAGATAGTAATTAATTACTATTTTCTGGTACTTTGAATATTAGGATGGTTCTACAGGCATTCCCCAGTTTATAAGAGAGTTCTGTTCCTGAAAAACCTTTAGTAAATCAGATAAATTTTCCCATAGACTTCCATTATAAAAGCCGAGATACTTTTCTATAATGAAAATACTAACCCAAAATGTCTTAACCCTTAAGCCCCGGGTGACGTTCCAGAACGTCTGCCTATTTTCCCATGACACAGAAGTGAGAGTTAACACTGTGGTGTAAATAACTTTACTAAAGTGAGGATATTACTTCAATAATTATGTAAGAGATAAAATCACAAAGTAACTTCATGAAATTACCGTTTACTGTATCTTAAAGTATAGTTAAGTCATAATGATCAAATTTTTATGTAAAAAATTGGGGTCAAACTATACATGCATAATATTTTTGAGGGGTTACAATTTATGCATTTCCATGGGTCATTTACAGTGAATGATAGTACCTGGTGCAGTACGCGCTTATGGTAGGTTAACCTTACCAGTAAGCTCCTTTATCCTGGGCTTGCCTACCGACCCCAAGATCCTATGTGGCTACAGGAAGAGCAGAACCTTTCACTATACAGTATATGCTGGTTTAAATATACAAATGCCTGATAGAATTGGTTTAGATATTTTTCTTTGCATCTGTTTAAATTACTGGGAGATTATCAACTTTCCCCACCTGTGAGCTGTATGCTATGTTATGGTCAGAGTGAGGGAAGATTGGACTAAAGTTAATTGAGAGGGAAGACTGCTGGAGACATAATTGAAGAGTATTACAGTGAGGGTGGGAAGGCTGGTGATATGAATTAAAACTATTCTCAAGTAATGTATATGTGGGAGAAACTTGACTAGAACATAAGACTTTACTGTACTGTAGCAGAAGAAGAGTGAGGAAACACCTTAGGATAGACTGAAGTTTTATACAAGCAAAGGAAGGATATGTGCCACTTAATCTGCACTGGATTATTTTTTTAATTTCTTCCACATCCTAGGTTTAGGTTTCACTTCTTCAGAACTCAACCATAAAGAGAGTCACCTATCAACTGGAATCAACTGAATCTGACCATCTTTCCCCGACCTTTAGGACGGGGTCAGAAGTCTATTCTGGGAAGGATGTTTTTGGACCAGCATGCTTGTTTGTCCAGTGGTTCCAGGAGTCAGGATCCTCTTGAGGGAGAAACCTGGCCCTCAGACTTGGCATCAGCCAGGTTCAGGTGTAACGGGCCGAGTTTTCTCTTTTAATAATTTACCATTCAGATATTCTTTTCTGTTAGTATTCTATTTATTCATATACTTATATGTTCGTTGTAGCATTCTTTCCAATGAGTATCCTGTTTTATATACTTATCCTTCTTCAATTCTTTACATATATACTTATTCTTATATATTCTTGCTTATATTCTTACATGTTCTTTATCTCTATATACCTTCTATTCTTATATAAGTAACTCTTATGCTTCTCTTGCTTATATTTTCCAAGTCAATGTTCTTTCTTTTCATTTTCTTTCATATATTATAATCTCTTCCATTTATTTTGTTCTAGTTATATTCTAAACCATGGATTAACCTGGGAAACCATGTCTTTCTTATTACCACACTTATTATACTTACAACGGTAGACCTGCCACCACCCAGGATTTTTCTATAATATAACATATCTTAGTTAACTGTTAGGTAGCGAGCTTCTAGGCTTGTGAGTTAGTTATTTTCTGAGAACCAATGTGGGAAAGGATAAAGTGGTGATACTCGTAGATTACTAATTTAATATTTATTAACACAGTGATTGGATAAGATGCATCTTAGATTCACTCAGACAAAACAGAACTGCAATTTATTTATTAAGTCATCAAACACTTCAAGAACTTATTACCTCATTAAATACCTCCAAATACTTATTACTTCAATCGACAATTGTGGTATTATCACTCTGCCAAATGATATTCAGTACTGGGTATACACCAGATATCACTGGACCCTCAGGTCTTACCTTACCAAGTAGCAAATTAACTCTTCACTTCTTGGTTATATCATTATACTCTCAGATTATCATTTCATGGTCACTACCGATGAATACATAGCACACTGGACAACTCCACAATTATCGCAACATACAATACCTCCTGTTAATTCTCAAGGAACAACATGGCACTTTTAACTCTCATTCAGTGGTTCAATACTTAACCTGGGATACTATATTTCGGCTAGTTATCCCCCAAACAAGATACAATAATACTTAGGCCCATGTAACTGTGAGGAGTGCTCCAGGGTAACGCTGGTCTCTACAACAAATGAAGATCGCTGTTAGGGGTCGGTTGTAGACAGACACACGCCCAGGGAGCTGGTGCCTGATTTGCAGGAAACGGACTTCCCAGTTCAGTCCTGTCGAATTAACGGCATCGTCCAACCCGGTTACCGACCCACGTTAGCCGATGAGTATTCAGCTCAACACACTGGAGAGACGTTGAGGAAGAGTCACGAATGCCTAAATGCCTAACTTCAACTATACAAAACATACGTCTGGCAACGGTTCAGATGATATCTAAATCTCTACGTTACTTGACTTAATTGGCACAGAATTCACTATGTTAACACCTGAACACTGATATTCACAAAATTGACCAAGTTAAACTGAATTAATAGGCGGCGGGGAACACACGTTAACATACCTGGAGAGACGTTGAGGAAGAGTCACAAATGCGTGATTCTCCCTCGTGTAGAGGTATATACGTGCACCAGCGGGGCAGCTTGGGCCTCCGTATTCATACCAGAAGGGTCGATCTTACCAACAACATAACTTCTCTACCATTTTGGATCACTGTAAACTTAGTTATGAACTCCAGTGTTCTTGATCAGGGTAATTTCCTATGTCTATTCATATAATCTAATCAGAGGTTGAGCTTGCCAGGAAAAGGTGGATTATACACGTCGATAACATTAATTCTGCAAGCAAAGGCCTGAGGCGAACAAGGAGCTATTCACGGGGAGGCGCTACATCTTGGAGATTATACCAGTTGACAGAATAGTTCAGGAAATTAATGACTTTCTCAAATAGACAACTGCCACTAACTAAACTATAAACATCAGATTCTCTGATGTCGGGGCAACAAAATGATATAACTTCAGGCGCGATCAGAAACTCATGGATACCCCCACGGACGACATAAAATACGCCACTAGCTGGCAAACTCGACACTCACTCACTTGACACGTTTTACTAACGATAAGGACAGTTGAGGCGTTCTACCCCACTCACAATGGATCTTGAATGTTCCCACTGTAAACAGACATATCTAGGTTGACTCAAAACAAGGGTGTTCTCTCTCACACTCAAATTCATTTTATAGAGAGGTTGGTTTCAATAAGTCAGAGAAAATGGGATAACGGAGGACTGAGGTGTCTTGAAGTGATAAGAAAACGGACTCCTCAGATGGAGGACTCAACGAAAGCCGAGTTATATGTTTTGTGGGCTATTGAGCGTAATATGAATCATTTGATTTTGGTGCTAACTGACGTGTAAGACCGTGGTCGTGACAACACCACCTGTGTTTTTTTACCAGGTATGATTGGTAATGAGTAATGTGCTGTATGAGTCGAGCACAGTATGATTAGTGGTGAGTCAAGAGCTGTATGAGTGATAGTGAGTCGAGCGCTGTATGAGTGATAGTGAGTCGAGCACAGTATGATTAGTAGTGAGTCAGGCACTGTATGTGTTGCTTATATCATGTTTTGGGTATTTTGATGCTCTCTCTCTCTCTTTGTTTATCTTTCTCACACACACACATGCAAAAAAAAAAAACCCTAAACTAACCTAACTTAGATACATAATGAGATCATTAAAAGTTGAAAGTCACCATCTCTTCTCTCAACAGGTTGGAGGGAGGCATAAGGTCGAGCATGACAACCATTACTGGTGTTGGCTGGGCAGAAGCCGTCACTTGTGCACCAAGATGTCTTCACGTTTTAGCTCTCTGGTCTGTAGTCTCAAATGTAAAGTATGTTGAATATTTCTCCTAAGTTAAGATGCAAGGTTGTATCTGATTGTGTGATTCAAGGTGATGGAATCTCAAAGGTATGTTGAATATTTCTTATAAATTAAGATGTAAAAATGTATCTGATTGGTGACATAAGATACAACATTGGTCAAGGATGAGTTGTCCTAATTTATTTAGTATGGATCAGGAAGCTGATTCTAGGACTGTAGTTAGCCTGATTAAAACTCGGGCCTTCGTTGATGAGCAGCAGCAATTTGACAGTAATTACATAAGATCATCGGAATCGTCTTAGTGATGTGCAAACCAATAAAGGATTTTTTAATGCTAGATGCGATTGTATTTTTTAAAACTCAATCTCCACTGAGTTGGAGGTACAGCCCAGGTCAAGAGGCCTACAACCACAAAATCTTTGTCATAAGACAATTTTTTTTTTTTTACGGAGTTGTGGTCACTGCTGTGATTAGCCACCCAAAGGTCAACCAGGGAGTGTAGTACTGTGCCTTTAGTTAAATCAGTTGATAGTGTCATCAGTGACTGCGGAACAGGTTGTAAATACTTAGAGTGAATACAAATTGGCAAGCAAGCTGTTAAGGCACCACTGCCACAGAGACTTTTATTTTGTATTTGTGCTCTCTCAATGACTGAAACTGTGCCTAACACCATTCACAGGGAGATACAATAAGTACTTTCAGAATAACACATAAATGCCTAAATCATTCCTTGGAAACCAATAGTTGATAAGTAATTAGCACTGCCCTGTGGTACCCCTTTTGTGACAGGTACAGATAATGATTTAGTGCCATTAATCACCACACACTGCTTGCAGTCATATAGAAAGTCTTCTATCCACGCTAGGATATTTCCCCAAATACCGTACCCTTCCAGTTTGATTTTCAGCCTTTCATGGGGTACACTGTTGAAAGCCTTGGCAAAATCTAGGTATATGTTATCGATATTACCACCCCGTTCCAGAATATGGGTCCAAATATCCAATACTTTGAGCAATTGTGTTAAGCAGGAATGCCCCGGCATAAAACCATGTTGGCAATCCTCTACAAGGTTGTTTTGTAGTAGCTGTTCCATTACGGCATCTCTGATAGTACTCTCAAGTATTTTACATATTATGCTGGTCAGGCTCACCCCTCTATAGTTGTTCGTGGAGTGACGATCACCCTTCTTGAGTATAGGACTCGCATAAACCACTTTCCAATCACTGGGGACCTTTTGTTCATCCAGGCATTTACAAAACAGGATCTTTAGGGGCTCGGCAAGCTTGTTGCACAACTCTCTTAGCACTCTGGGATGCACAATGTCAGGGCCAGGACTCTTATGGACCTTCAGCTTTGACAGTTTATTTCTAATACCCTCTTCTGTGAACATAATGTGGGTCACTGCTGTGTCGAACCGTTTGTCACCAAACGCAGGAAGGTTAATCGCATCCTCTCCTGTGAACACCGAGGAAAAGAAGCTGTTCAATGTCTCGGCTTTATCCTAGTCAGAATCTGCGTAACTACCATCTTCAAGCCTCAGGTCTGATACTCCTACTCGCATTTTTAATTTCGACTTTGCATAGCGGTAAAACGCCTTTGGATTTGTCTTGACCTCACTTGCAACCAGCCTCTGGAACTCCTTTTCAGCCCTTCTACACCTACCTTTGCTTGTTTTCTGGCTCTTGCATACATCCTCCTGTCCTGCTCTCGCATGACCCAACCTACGTCTTGAATTCTGAGTTTTCTTCTTAACTTTATCGACCGCCTCATGGTTCATGTGTAGGGACCCCCTCATATTCCTAGAGGCACTGGGTTTGGTCTTGGGTATATATTTATAGATCAAATGGGTCACTTTACTAGTTATGATATTCAGCGTAGTGTATGTGTTCTTGTGCCTCAATGAGTTGGGCCAGTGGATTCCCCTCATCTCTTCCCTCATCCCATTGTAATTTCCCTTGTAATATTTGCACCTTGGCCTGGCCTTATCTTGAACTAGGTAACAGTTAAATCTGAATGACAACACTATGTGGTGACTGGTGCCAACTGGGGCAAGATGTTCCAGTTTGGCCACCATACCCTCCTCATTTGTTATGATGTGGTCTAGTGGCTTGGGTGTTTGCTCCCCTCTGTAATGTATCGGGTCTCTAACATGATGGAACAGAAAATTATCTCTCAGAGTTTCTAAAAAAAGAGTAACAGGGTTATTCAAGTCATTTCGGGTGAACTCGTTTTTCCAGTCTGTGTCGCCATAGTTAAAGTACACATGATATGGAGGTGGCTAGGGTTGAGCATTGCTGCAGTGTCTATTAAGGCTCTTAAGTTCCTTTGATTTAGTGGGCCACAGTTTGGGGATCTGTAGATACACCTGACGATAAGTAATTTAATTTTACACCATTTGGACTCTTCAAAAACATCCTCTCCCTGTACTCTCACCTGGCTGACTCTAAGGTCTTGCCTAGCATAGATAACCACACCCCTCTTGCAAGTTTTTTGAGAAAGGATCGTAAATGAGTCATATCCAGCTATACTGAACTCGCATTCCTCTGGGTCAATTCTCCTGTTCTTGTACTAACAGGGGCCGGATACTCAAAAACATTTATGGGGATGTATGTCGTTGTGTACCCCGTAACTGGACATACAGTCTCAGATTGGCATACTCAAAACACAGATGGTATACTCAAAACAAATATTTGACATCGAACTCCGCAAGTTAAAGTGCGTAACTTACACCAGCTCCTGAGGTTGTGTAACACTCTCAACCCGGATGTAGTAGTGACTAATTCCCTATTGTATAAAAAATAATAATAATATATGTTGTAATGTTGACTTGGTTTATCATAGAATAATGAAGAAAATATTTTGTACACCAACATACTGAAATATAATATTTCACTTTGTCTTTTTCGTAACTTTTTTGTTGCCATAATAAGCGGCTTGAGTGTTTGTATTTGTCTCAGTTTGGAAGAGACGCATCTTTTGTCTTCTTACAAATTATAAAGTATTTTTTACCAAAACAGAAGGTTTGTATTGTTCACACTTAGGGTAAAAATATGTTTTATGACTGAGTAAACTTGCAGATAGAACTTATTAATGTTGTATAGCCATAAATATCCCTCAGTAATGAAAGCCAATATGAGGTGAAGTGAACATTCCTGCCAAGACTTCACCTGTTTTTCTAATATTCAACCAATAGTCTTAGCCTATTTTCTTATGTATATGGCTTATGATAACATGAAAGGCTATAAATTTCCATAGGCTAGCCAAAATTAAACGATATTAGGCGTAACATGTGGATTGCAATTAACTTGATTAATAGGGGCCTATATAACTCTTTTTCAGTCTTAGACAAATAAATGTTTAAACGTGGGGCCTACTTAATTTAGTTAAAACATGAGGATTATTTAAATAAGAAATTATACCAATAGGTTATAGGTTAGAGAGGTTTGGTTTGGTTATGTTATGTTATGGTATGTTAGGTTAGGTTAGAGAATGTGTACATGGTTTTTTGGTGAGTGTCAGGCCGTCAGTGAGACACTTTGTCTAGCAGCTACCTTAGGCCTAGTTCCAGACTTTCAACATTATCATAGGTAGAGTATTAATTTAAGAAAATTTACGGCTAATCCGATATAATTTCAGGTTTTAAATTGTTGTTTTTTGTATGAACTTGAAGACAATTCAGACCAAATGTCCCCAACATTGAAAGGAAAACACCAGGGTCTAGGCTAAATGAGTAATTTAAGAGAAGTGATTTGTCATTTAGGTTCGGCAAAGCTATGTTATCAATAACCAATTTATTTGAATTTGCCCAGAATAGTGTATACTTCAGCCTCACTGAAATTAGGCCGTCTCTTCTTGGCTGGTGTTCCTTCCATGTTTACAAAATAATATTATGTGCGTCGCTCTCAGCTGATTTCTCCTTCTCTTGTGATTGGTTGATGATTTTGTTAACTGAGCGCTGATTGGCCAACTAGCTCCTGCACTGACATCTACCTTCCGACAAGAGAACTTAATTTACAGGGTAAACACTAGAGTTATGAATACTTACGAAAGGCTTACGGAACTGTAATTAAATTTTGAGTATGCTAAATTTACGGTACTGTAAAGATTCGACAATATATGGTACTGTATCATGCTGAAAGACGTAACTTATGAGGTGTTTTGAGTATCCGGCCCCAGTTCTACAACTCCTACAATATCTGGTTGGTGTACCTTCAGTAGTGTTTCAAACTCCTCTCTCTTATCAAGAAACATGTCAGAATTAGTGTACATAACATTCGAGCCAGAATTTGTTCTCGGTAATGTGTCTGCTCTTAGTAGCAACACCCCCCCCCCCCATTCTCAAAAGCTGCAGCATTTGCTAAGTACACTGTATGTCATTGTTTACACCGTGCTCGCCTCCTCCCGGGTGGGGGGTAGAGCGGGTGGAGGGTGCGCTGTTGACACACTTGCTTCCACTATCCTCTCCCCGTTCCTCCTCGACTCATCCCTTCTCTGTTTCAAGCCCTGCAGGAGCTTCCTGTGCTGTTCCCTCTGCATTACCGTGCATTCTGGGTGAATGAATACACTCCAAGATGCCTCGCTCCTTGCTAAGTTTTTTGCCTGCCAAATAACCTTCCATTTCTCCTCCTCACTCACTAGTGTGATCCTGAGGGGACCAGGCTTATCTCCCTGCTGTTGTCCCAGCCTCCTCACATCCTGGAGGGTTGATGGCATTTTCAGAACCTCTGTACAAATATTCTTAAACTACATCTTATCGTGTGTTATCTTACTCTAAGTTCCCTCCGCCTGGCTCTCAGGGACTCCAAAAACTATTACATTGTTCCTGCGCTGGAAACGTTCCAGTTGTTCCTCCTCTCCCCTAACAGTAGGTCCGTTAATTTCCATTTCTTCGACACACTGCTTCAGGGTTCCTAGCTGCTGTAGAACCTGTTCTGATCCTAAATTACTCTCCCCCACCTCCAGTAGCCCTGCTAATGCCTCGGCATAACTTCTCTTAACAACTACCTCCATTATATCGGCTACTTCCTCAGTCTTAGCAAGGATGTCTTTCCCAACTTGTCCTAGTTTGGCAACCAGCAAGGCTCTAGCGTCATCTATTTTCGTCCCTAGGGAACTCGTTCCCCTTTGGCTTGCAATCGCCTCTTTCACCTTGACTCTGCAGTCAGGGCAATACCAGCAACAGCCTTCATGCTTTACAGCAGCTTGCATCGTCCTAAATGTTGCATTAGTCAGGCCTGTATCATCCATATCTGTTATCCCCGCATTAATCTCATATCATACTCATGGTTGTTGTTGGGGGGGGGTGCAGACTGTGTATAGATCTACATTTATTTAAGAAT